CCCCCCCCCACAAGAAGTCAATTTTGACATTGCACAGGGTTTTGCAACCTGAAACAGGGGAAATGTTCCATCTGTGTATTCCTGTGTTTGAGTAAAGAGAAACACACCGACACGATAGCGGCAATTTAGAGTTGTGGAAAAGCAAGGCAGGCAGAACGAAAAGAGAAAAGTAAAGGAATAGACCGTACCAGCTCTTCATCATATAATCCTCCTTTCAAGTCCAAGTAATGTAAAATAATAATAATAATGATAACAAGTAATAAATGGCATTATATCGCACTCTTTTCTGATAGGAAACAAGCTTCGGGCGTTGTCTCCGTGGGTTGCTTTTTTATATTGTTCTAGCTGGTATTTGTTATACTGACCACATTCATTCTTTCTTTGATACGTCGGTAAATGCACAGTATCCACCCAGTCCCATCATAAAGCCTGGGTCTGATGTATTTCGAAGACATGAAAAGGTAAACTGTAGTACCTGTTATTGAGTTATAGCATCCGCACAGCCAAAGCATTTTTTCGATTTATGTTGTACATAACAGACGTTCCATCTTGTATAACACCAATTTGATTTCGATTCCATCGTGAAGAAGATATATTATCGAGTATGTCCATTTTTCTGCTGAGACGGACACATTTATTATATCAAACAACCTGGGTCTGGCATGGCAGGCAAGATCTAAGCAGCATGCCTCAGAATTGGTTTAAATTGTGAAGACAAATTTTTACAAGACATTTATAACATAATATAATAACAGCAGCAACATCAGCAACAACAAAATTAACAACAGCAGGAGAATCAACAACGATAACAACAATACGGAGAGCAGGAACAGCAATTACAATAATCACAACAATAGCACCAGCACCACCAGCACCAACACAAGCACCAAAGACAACAACAGCAACAACAACAACAACAACAACAACAACAGCAACAACAAAAACAACAACAACAATAACAACATCAGCATCAGCAGCAGCAACAACTACAACAACAATATGGGCAAAAATATCACCAACCACAACGACAGATCCTATGAACCTTATATGATAGCTCTGTTCCTAACGTCAACCCTACCTCCTCTCTCCCCAGATTAACCGTCCCCGTCGTAGAAGCATTGAGTGGATGGTCGACACTCGGCCCTGGAGGGTGCTGCTCCAAACATCAGACCCTCCCGGCCAGGTGCTGAGGGGTTCCCAGTTCGAACTCCAAGAGGCTATCATGCAAGGGGCGTCTATCCGTCTTAACGTCGTGCTCGATCCCCTGGAAGGGTCCTTCTTCACACAAGTATGCTTTGTTTCATTTGTAGTTAGAATTTTACAGCACTTGCAACTCAAATTGGTCATATAAGTGCCGGAGATTAGAGTTTTACTAAAAAGTAATATGCGAATAAAAGGAGAAGAGATACGGGCGATAGATCTTGGATAAGAAAGAAGGAACAAACCACAGCAGAGCACCCGCCAACCACCCACAAACGTAGGCTGAGAAGCTCCTTTTCTCTATCTTTAATTCCATTTGTTGTTCCTTTACAATAACCGTTATACAGCCATAAAGTGTATGATTAAGAACATTTTGGACATTATCAAAACGCCGATAAAGTGTATCCGCTTATACCTCCGAGCAGGGATACTCACAAGTACAAACACACCCCTTGAGTAGATTTTGAACTTGAATTCTTTTCCTTTGATAGTAAACTCGAAAGTTACGAATCATTGTCCAGAATATCGGGTTGGGATAGCGTGAAAAAAACCCTTAAAGTCTCATAGATAAAAGAAGTTGCCTCGGTAATGAGGCGTGTTTTACGTTATTGGTATAAACGTCGGCAGATATCACCCCCATGACCTCGAGGCCTTTGTTTTGTGAGGACTCACGCTTGAGTCAACTTGGCAGGTCTGAGGTGGCTCGAATGCATTGAGTAAAAGCAAACTAACAAAATGTTAGTCCAAATGGATCTTGACACGTATATTGCCTAGCTTCTGATTCAGCGGACATTTTCAAATTTGAAATCACATCAAGTTAATTTGGGCTTGAATTTGAACACGCACACACAGGCACACACACACACACACACACACACACACACACACACACACACACACACACACACACACACGCACACGCACACATACACACACACACACAACACACACACACACACGTACGCACGCACACATATACACACACAAACACGCGCGTACACACAGACAAACACATACACACACACACACACACAGAGAGAGAGAGAGAGAGAGAGAGAGAGAGAGAGAGAGAGAGAGAGAGAGAGAGAGAGAGAGAGAGAGAGAGAGAGAGAGAGATGAGACTCTCCGCTCTAGATCTAAATACATGTACACGAACATGTAAATCACCAACAAAAAGACACATTTTCCTTTCCGGTAGTCCGGTTTATTTAACAGAGTACCCCTTTTAAAACACGAGCCCGGCTACTCCGTCAACTTCACACTTGTTGCAAGGTTGGTGGTTTAACTTGGTTTGACTGTATAACAATATATCATGTCTCTGTGATGAATTATAGAAAGTCTGTTATAAGGTTGTCTCCCCCTTCCTGTGCACAGGCCAACAACCTCCGACTGGACATGCTGACAAACACGATCTACGCCCAGGCCATGGACCACATGAGTGACAAAAAGTCCAGCGTGCCCGGAGAGTACGAGTTCCAAAGAAGTCTCTTCCGGTGGTACCTGCTCATCTCCTCCGAGGGCCCAGTGCGCATGACCGCCTGGAACTACGGCTCAGACACCTTCAAGTACGACGAAAGCGCGCTGCAAGTGGAGGTCACGTGGTATGCTAATGTCTAGTGGAACAGGGTCAGTTGTGTCTGGAAAGCGACGATTGGTCTGACGTCGTTCAAAACTGACAAAAACAACAGCAACAACATTCTCCTTGGAAATAATTCACGAAACAAGAAAAGAAGAACTCAAAAAAAATCCATCGCCTCACTGTGAGCATGGCAGAGAGAAACCTGGGAAGAGAGTTAACTGCCCCTCCTGAGATATTGACGCTCGCACGTTTCACCGAAACATGTCTGCCAGTTTGGAATAAAATCGACTTTTACCAGACTGGTGTGACTGAAAACTTCATCATTTTTGTTACAATGAAGCACTCCGACGTCGATGACTATTCTGTTACTGTTTACCGTTCGCTCCACCTCTTTCTGTGAGTTTGAAGGAATCAAAATTGAATACCCCTCCCCTTCCTTTTCAGCCGACGAAAGAAGCTGATTGATGAGAATTGTCCCATCTGCTAAATAACTCTCACATTATGAAGTACAAAGATTATTGTAATGGCAAATGGAGGCATAGCGATATAACAGTAACGTTTTACAGAATCCCTTACCCAGATAATGCTCTCAACATGTTCTTTCGAAATAATCTGTGCCTTTTCTCCCCAACTTAGAATTTTCTTTCTCCTTGTTTAAGAAAATTCTGTTGTAGCGCCTTTCTTCTATTAATTTGTGTGTCGAAGTATTTTTGTTGTTTGTAGCAGGTTGTCAAATGTGTCTGTTTTCAATTCGAACAAAATTCTTGGAAACCACCTTGACAGACAGTTTCTATTTTTCTCACTTTATAATATGTGTAACCGTTAAGAAGCCTGCGCGTGTCATCTGGAAATCCAACCAAGACAGGGTAAAATCTGTTGGTATTTAGCAAATTGATATAATTAAGGAACCGGCTCTGCCTGTAAGGTAACGTTTTCAATACGTTACCTGCATCACTATTGTTATAGCTATTGTTTGTGTCTGCATTTATAATTGTATATAGTACTCATGAACTAATTTATTTTTATTTGCCTTCAGTGGATCTTTTTTATGTGGTAGTATTTTGGGTTTGTATATCATTTTTCAGTTTCATTTAAAGCACTCCCTTGAAAGCTTGATTCTGGAAGCTTTGGTGACGGGGCAACTCTTTATTAGATACACTGAAACAGTCACACTAAAGATGTATTGGTATTTTTTCCTTCCTTACTGTAAACGTATCCATCTGTTTTATAGTGGTTCTTATTTGTATCGTGTTTTTTTTACAGCAAGAAACCGTGTGCTGGAGAGGGCACTTGTAACCTCGCTTTAAATAAAGCCCTGCTTTCCAAGTCAAGGAAGACGAGGGCAATTGTATTTCAAGAAAGGAATATCAAATATTCTTATTTTTTCATTGATCTGTATGGTCAAATCTGTTAAAAACAAACGCTGTAAAAGAGACAAAGATGCAATTTCTGCCTTCCGTTAGTGATACAAGTAAAGGGAATTGAACGAACAAAAATTCCAACCATAAAAAAGGGAATAAAAGAAAAAAAAAGAAAAGGAACATGCTTAATAACACCTCCCCTCTCCCTTCTTCCCTTTCATCCCCCCCCCCCAAAGGCCAAGCAAAACAAGCCCAAGCAACGACTACAAAAATGGTAACAACATAAAACAAAACAAAACAATCCAGTACACTAAACAAGAGCACAAAGACACGCTGCCTCTGCTAGAGCTAGAAGATATGAGTCTGGATGCACATAGCTTTCTTTGAGAGACAGCCAGAAAAAGCCAGTTTACTTTTACCAACACATCAATAGGAATGTTAGAGAAAAAGATATGCCCGAACAGGATTTATTAGCTGGTTTTTCAATAAGATTACTTCAGAGACTGGACAGTGATCTCCAAGCTAGAATGAATAAAAACAGAAACCAAAACTTTCTACCAAAAATGAAAGGAAAACAATCTAAATTTCTACCCAAAAAATACTTGAGTATTACAGAAGTGTGCTTGCGACGTATTTAAATGATGTGTAAAGCCAAGACGTAACATCGTTTTCTTCCAGAATTCATTGCAAGATGGATGCTAGTCAAACGCCACTTAAGGACACAGCACATCGGTCAAACATTTCAGCCTCGAAAATTTAACATCGTGCGTTTTGTCCACATCAAGGAAAGGTCGATCCGGAATTTATATTTCAGTGATGAGACCATACTACAGGTGTGTTTTATTAATAGAACACAGGCAGAGACCACAAAAAGCGACACAGCAAAGCGTATTGATGATCTCTGGTCTTGTTGTATTACAATAGCATCGTCACGAACCCTCATGCTAGTTTGTGAGCTGGAATTTTCAGTTTCAATACTAGACACGGATTAAGTCTCTTCAAAGCTGAAGCAAGTGACCAGGTCTTTACATTGAAAGTATATTTCAAAAAGAATTAAAAAAAAATATTTTATCGAGATCCAAACCTTAACCTTTTGGTTAAGTGCATAAGCACCTAGACACTTATATAGTCACAGGTGCATTGGTCACGTTCACAAGCTCCTAAAACACTCAAAGTTCCCAGGAGCTGCTGGAGGTAGTTTTTGTGAGTTTGGGTTGTATCAAGTATTAAAAACGAACTACTGATTCATTCTTCGCAGTCGTTATTAGTAACAGTTCCGTAAAAGAACGGTTCTACGGTAGCCCTTAAGTGAATTATTAAAATAAAACTACAAGGGCTCGAGAGAAACATGTACAGGTCGCACTAACACGAAACGTTGATGACAAATACGAGAGAATAATATTGGCCGCAAAATAGCTTCATGGGTGCCTCAGTTGGCCTCAGGGCCGCGAATTTGAGCCACATGCCACAGACTATTAAACACCCGTTATAGTAGAAACATTCATAAGCATCCCAACTATTGAACAGCTACCGGTGCATTGGTGACGTTTATAAGCATCTAGACTATTGTAAATCTACTGGTAAGATATTTATTAATTCTTGTCATATATTATGACGTCATTGTAAGGCAATCTCAAGCCTCTAGAAATTTGTGTCCAGAGTTGGTCAGATTTATACCGTCATTTTTCCACGGCTTCGCTGAGGGTCTCCAATATCTGAGCACAGTAGCCTGACACCTCCTCAAATCCAGAACTATAATTTACTTACCCAGTTTATTCTCTACGGAGTCGTTGGTTCAACAAAGCGTTTTTTGTAGACATCATGCCACTCCACTCATCTCACCAAGCTGGGAGGTATCCCTATAATAATTTTATCCCTCTCATACGTATGTTTTATTGCTACTCCCACAGCATTCCTTCACTGCCTTGACGATTGTCTCGGACAGAAGCTCTTTGTTACAAAAGGCTTCTGGTTTATCCCTTCAGACAAGAAGTACTTTTTTTTTGCTGTGCATCGTCTGCGTTGTTTTCTGCTGTTTCCGGGATACAATCTGTCTAGTCCTCTTTCAGACTCCCTCCCCATAATGAAGCTATCAACATCATTCTTCTTGAAGTACCTGTGTTCAGGCGTAACGGGTGAATAGGAAATTCTTGTTTCTGGCTGTATGTCTTGCCTTTCTTCAACGCTAAATGATGGTTATTATGTTGGTCGTTGTGCCTCTCTTTAATTTAAACAAACATTCACAACATCAAATGTCGTGTTCATACTGACATGTGCACTCTTCATGAATGTGTCTGTGCATGATCATACTTGATTATATCTTCACAAACACTCAGGCGTTCTAAGGGCTCAAACTACAGAACGTTTAACTCATCGCTTGTGTCAAGTTCATAAAACTAGGGTCTTAAAGGACGCACACACGCAATGTGCACGCTCACTCATTTCCAGTGCTGGAAGTACAGTCGGTGGAAAAGGAAATCGAGAACTACTGCGAAGAAACCTAAATTCTGTACAATTAAAAACATTATTTAAAAAAGGAAATACCAGCAGCCCGTCGCCACAACACCTCCTACCACTCCCTTAATAAATCTCTCCACTCTCCCCCCGCAAACAAACACATAAACAAACGAACAAAAACCAACAAAACAACACAACACACACACACACACACACACACA